CTGCTGAAGTTCTTGGGTAGGGTCTTCTATATTAAGTGATCTCAAAGCAGCCAAAGAAATTTAAAACACATACTATCACATCATAGTTTCCTTAAAACATTAGGGTTCATGCTTATCCAAACGTAGGCATTTTAATTGTTTTCATACTAAAGGTTGTACAGCTTCATCAGATGGATTTGATTCTTAAACACTGCAAGTATCTTACAGAATGTTCAATAATTAGACTATTCATCCTTGCCAGAGAAACCAGCAGTGTAACTCTTCCTTTCTATCTAATGATCTTAACTTTAAGTTCCATTAAAAGTAATTTCAAATGATTGTAACATATACCAAATTGGATTTCCTGGACTTGGGCAAAGCTGCAGCATGTTGCTCAATTCAACACAAAGCACTGTCCAAAGTCTCCAAGACATAAAAAACTTCCAACCCCTGCAAATCTGACATTCCCAATAAAAAACCCAATTTAATTCAATGAGCAGCGGAAATGGAACAAATCTCTCCTAACAATAGGGAAAGCTAAGCACATTGGAGGACAACAAGATGACAAGTCATTTTCATTCACATTGCTGTCGCCTGGAAGAATTCCTTTTACCACGCGAGCAAATGAGTTTCTGAGAAGTAGGTAGCACTAAAAAAGATTCAAAGACAGAGATTAAGTGCTCGTTTTAACTAATGATTGAGGAAAATCATTGCATACAAGGTGATCTTCCAACATTTGCTTCTGAACGACCATTTAAACTATTCTAGACCAGCCCAGTGTCACACCCAGGAGGCTGTCAGCACCTCCTCTGTTCAGCTCAGCTACTACTAAACAGAAGTAGCCACACCTATGAAGCCATGAAGAAAACATGCATTTCAGAACAACTGTTATTTGTTTTATTGAATTGTTGAAGCAATACTATAATCCAGGTATATTTAAATCAAGCGTTGGTCCACTCTTAAAAATAATTGATTTGAGTTTTCTTTAACGACACCGATACAAATGGAAGGAATATGAAGCATTGTAGCAGGAACTTTCAACTGTATGTGACAATAGATCATGATCAGACTGGTGCTACTTCATTATTTATAGACTCTCCACTATACAGACCAGCCACACTAGCGTTTTTTACCTCCAAATCATCAGAGTTCTAGACGAAGAAGGATCCTTCTGTCTACAGCTTTCATCTGAGCCATCAACATGAGATCAAAATGCTACCCATCTCACTAGAATTGTAGTCTCATAGAAATATTTCTCTATTTAGTCTTTTACTAAAGTATAATTACTACCCTCTATGCAGATACATATAGCCATCATAAATATTTACATCAAACATATACAACTGGTTCATAATATGCAGCATAACAATGGAGCTATAATTTCTAATCTTCCAGTGTAGAAGTTTCAAACAACGTGTTGCTATTGTAACTTCAATTTCTCTGTTTTGCACATAGCCACGGGCAGTACAGGGCATTTCAAAAACTCATGTTACATGATAAAAAAATGGAATGATGTTACTTCATTAACAGCTAGTTTGGGGACTGTTTTTGTTTGGGTTTTTTTATAAACAAGCAGGTTTCAACTTCTATATTCCATCTGGTGCTACTACTAACATTTAAAATAGGCTTCAGAGGAAAAAGGCAAACAAACTTAGAAATAAATACACCTTAAAAAAAATTCCACAATTAACCATGTCAGAATATTAGTTTCCCACACAGTTTAAAGGAGATCTTACTCTTCATCATTTCCTTGTGCTGAAATACAGTGTAGTTCAATCCATTCTTATCTTCTGATTTGTCATCCTATAAATAATGCTGTCATACCCAGGATCCATGTTCCAGAGGTTGTAGGAGATAACTATCACAGCTAAAGCAAGACCAATCATCATCCACAGAATAATGTTGAAAATTACAGAGTAGTTGTAGTTGTAGGGATAGGCAAGGTTATATGGATTGTCCGTTTCACTCTGGAATAAAGAAAGTAAGTGTATTACTTTTAAGTTAGCCTGCAGACAAAGCATATTCCAACTACATAGAAAATCTGAGCAATCTGAATAGGAGAGATGCATTTTTTTCTAGATAATCCTGAAGCTAGGGCACAAAATGCAAAAATGATTATGTGACAGACATCAGTGGAATTTAAAGAAATGGGCTGACAGGAGCCTCATCGAATTTCCTGAGGACCAAAGCAAAACCCTGCACCTGGGCCAGAATAACCCCAAGTGACAGCAGAGGCTGGGCACTGACCAGCAGTTCTGCAGGGAGGGCCCTGGAGGTCGTGGTGGACATAGCGAGCAGGAGTCAGCAGTGTGCCTTTGCAGTGTTCACTGCAGAGGTGCATCCTGGGCAGTATCTGGAGTGAAGGCAGCAAGTCAAGGAAAACAGCTTTGCCCCACTCATGAGGCAGGACTTGCATGCAGTACTGTACTGGGGAGAAAATTACAGAAGTGCAAATTTTAAGAAGGCACTAAGAGAAAACGTTTTCACAGTCAAAATGTTTAAGACTTCGGAACTAGATGTCCAGAGAGGCTCTGGGACTTCCAGCCACAGACCTCTCAAAAGACTTGGCCAGACAAGGACCTGAGTAGCCTGATCTAAACTCCTAAATTAGTCCTGCTTTGAGCAGTAGGGTGGACCAGTTAACCTCCAGAGGACCTCTTCAACCTAAATTACTAAATGACTAAGTGAAGATCAGTCAAGACAGGTAAGCTGACCTCTTCACACTCATGCCTAAATCCCAGTCAGTATTCCAGTCCTTAAAAAAAACAAGTTAGGCTTCAGTGTAGAAGAGATGCAGTTTGGATCACTTTTAGAAAGCAAGATGTATAAGAACATGCATCTACTACCTGTGAAGACTGGAGAATGGAGCGAGTCTTCCTCACGAGGGGAGAATTAAATGCCTTTACAGCCACCACTTCTACTACTGCATTCCCACTGTACAGATTAAACATCTCATCTGCAAACTGGAAAAGCAAAAGTGATTTTATTTAAAACCCACAGTGTAGCAAGGAATTCAGGAGAGTTCTGTTAGCCAGATATACTACACCACAAGATGTCAGTTTCAGGAATAAGAAGCTTATGGGAAGTTGTAAAAATTTACAGTATTTTAGAATTCCACTAAGAAAGTGCCAACTTTCACCTAGTTTACAGGTGAAACTTTTAACAACTGCATTTTAAAAACTAAAAAAAAAAAATATCAAGAATCAGTCAAGCCATCACTAATGAAGTGACAATTCAAAGAAGAAGATACTTAACTAATTCCCTTGTAGTTTTCACAAAAATAATTTCCTTAGTATTCCTGTGAGTTTTGTCACAGGTAAAGGTAGAAAGCATACCTTTTGCAAGGAGTCCACAAGAATTTGAGAAGCATCTTTGAACTGCTGAGAGTCTTCTCCATATCGTTTCCCAATCTCCTCCAAACCAGCTAATTCCAGAGAATACAGGTCTGGAGAGTGATCTTTGGCTAGATGTTTGTGTCGAGACAGCTTTGGCATATCATTGAGGGCAGAAAAACATTAATTAATACATAGGTTACTTTAAAAACACATTGCACAAAATCAGTTTGCTGAGACTAATCCAGCCACACCTTCCACAGTCATATTTCATGCTGATTAGGAATTTCTTGCCAACTTCACTAGAAAATGTCTACAATTGTTTCTTTTCTTATTCTACAGAAGAGAGCAGCTGGTAATCATGTAGCATCTATTCCTAACATGAAGTTATATACAGTATGAAGTACACATTAAGTATATACATGTATTATAGAGCTCTATAAGAAGTAGTATTATACTTATTCACATAAGAATCCTTGTTCTGTAATTGCTGTAAAAATAAAACTTCAAGGGAAAAAAATATAACTGCAACACTTGGATACTACTCTTCCCTCTGCTAAAGCTCACCCTTGTAAAACTGAGTAGGTTGCAACTTCTACCGTGGTGTGGCCTATATACAAAAAAGTAGATTAAGGAGAATCATCCTATTGACATGAAATCCAACCAATATAACACAAACTATCTCAAAGGACAGTAGTGATATTCTTGCACTTCTATAGGTATGAAGCTGCAACTCTGACATTTGCTTGCACAAGAGAACAGCCTCCGCAAGCAAGAAATGTCATTTGTTTCTATCTTCCCATCTACTTTAACTACAGCACTTCTAGCCTGCAAGAAAAAAACAAGTTGTTCTACCTCATTTTCTCTAGACCCCTGTTTCTCTTCACCAGCTGTTCACCTAATGTGAATTTCCAAGTTTTGAATGACTGTTTCTTTCCCTCTAAGTAGCCAAAGGCTGCAGTTGCTGAGGGCTGCAGCTTAAAAGGACAAAAACAATCAACTCCAACCCAAACCCTAAACCTTAGCAACAAAACAGGAACTTCTTAGTAAAAAGATAATAAGAATATTGTTGCTTTAAAAGATCAGAATTAAAAGCTCATCCCTCCATTGGAACATTTCTATCACCACCACTATTCACACTACAAAAGTCAGTTCAGTCTTTTCAGAGATGTTACAGTGATATTTTGAAGTAAAATGGCAGATAGGGTAAAGAACATGTCCTTAGCTACCATTACACTTGTCAAGTAAGAAAACACAAAAAGACCCAGCAAATTCTTTATTGAGTACTTCCTGTGTCTTTGGGTATGGAGAAACAGGAGCTCAGAATTCCTCGTTGTCACCAAACAGAATACAAAACCAACTACAGATAATTAAGCTTCTCATTTTCTTCCATCAGTGATAGGGCTGACATAAATAGCTTGAGAATGCATTATTTAAACCACTGCAACCAACCAATGACACACATGAACACATACCACTGGTTGCCAAGTATCCTGGCTATGGCCTCTCTACCTTTATATGAGATCTCTGAAGTTTGTGACATAAGATGGGGAAAGTGTTTCAAAAAAATCTTACCAGGCTTGCAATATCATGTAGGACTTGTAGCTCTGACAGGAAAAGCAAGTCCACCTGGAGGAAGAGGCAGGAAAAAAGAGATAGGTATCTCCTTTGCTAAAACCAAAGTTAGGGAATTCCCAATTTGTTGCAAGTCTCAGTATTTTACAACAGGTTATGTCTGCTACAGCTAGAAGGAAATTACTCTTTTCAATAAAATTACTGACAGAAGAAATTACTCCTTAAAATTCAGTTAGGAAAAAACAAATGGAGTGGGGTCTCCTAGGCAAAGGGGACAAAAAAAAGAGGGAAAAAAAAGAGAAGAAAAAACACAAGCTAAGACTACTAGAAAAAAACAAAAACAGAAACATACAAGTTCGCCCCAATTTTTTCACCTCATTGTTTCTGCTGAGGGAGTTGAGAGGAAGGGAGCTGAGAATGGAGTTGTCCTGGAACAAGCGGTTTCGCAGTTGACGCAGCGTGACAGAAAGGTCTTCAAACACAGAGTTTGCCTTGCCCACCATGTACACTCTCTGCAGGAACAGCCATTTTTTAAGAACAAAGGTTAGTCCTTCCAGTCACACCTTAATCATTAATCATACCTGCAATCTCTCTCCAACTAAGTATTTCATGCAACCAGTTGGTTTTCTCCAGCCACACACGTGGCAAGAGGCTTGCTATTTGGAATGTCTGGAACCCAAAGTGAAGGAATACTCACTTCCTCACTGGGGGCCAGCTGCAAGACCACGGGAGTTTCCTCAGAGAACAAGCTATGAATAGCGTTTGCAACACTGTCAAGACTGAAAGGAACAGCCTGGAAGACAAAGTCGTTAGATTTTTTGGGGCAAACAAGGCCAACAATCTAAAAGAAGCTCATCTGCTCCACTACAGAAATCTGGAAATATAGGACAACCTCTTTTTGAGCAAAGAGTATTAACATTTCCGAAGATATAATAATGAATAATAGGAGACAATGTGCAAAACAAAACATAACGGTGTATCTATGAATAGACAATTTATTTGTACATATGGTGGACACAATGTATTTTAAGAACTCCAAACGTCCATGACTTCATGAGAACTTTATGAAAGTTATGAGGGCAAACAGGACTGAAGACTTCAAGTATATCTGAGGTGTCTGCAAGTTACTGATGCCTACACTGTGAGGTGCAGACAACCCTGTATCAATTTTGGTCCAGATACCATTTCAGCAATGCCAACATGTAACTGTGCCTGGACTAGTGAGCTAGGCTTGAAAGCTGATGTGAAAGCAGATCTGTGTTAGGCTGAAACTGACCAGAGTTCAAGGTAAAGCCACAATCATAATGTAACAATTAAACACCAATCTTTTAGAACAGCTTAAAAGACTACCTGATAGATGTAAAAGTAATTTAATAGGGAAAAGTTCACCTCATCTTGGGGTGTGGAATAGGGTGTCAATATTAAACTGAACACTATTCAACATTGCCACTGATTATTCCATAGTTTGATTGAAATAGTAAAATGATAATTCTTAACAGAAGTATGATAGTCAGATAGCCAAAATGCATGGTAAACTAGTGCAAAACAAAGTTTTCCAAGATGGGCAGAAGCAGAATTAACTAATTAGAAATAACCCAAAACCAACTTATTTGAAAAGGGGTTATGGGTTCATGCTGGACAAAAAATAGCTTAACATGAAGAACTGGCCCCATAGTGCAGCAAAATGGATTAAAGCAGATAAAGGAGAAGTGAGTAGACTCTGTACAATCACTAGTATTTTTAGGTGACTGTGCTCCTGTTATCTGATTTTGAACTCAAGCGTAATAACAGGAGAAGAGGCAACAAGCATAAATTTTAAACCAGGAAATTCTATCTGAACATGTGAGGTTTTTTTACTGTGATGGTGGTCAAATAGTGGCACAAGTTGCCCGGAGAGGTTGTGGAGTCTCCATCTGTGGAGATATTAAAAACTTGACACAGTTCTGGACAGCCTGCTTTACCTGACCCTGCTTGATCCAGAGGTTGGACTAGATCAGTTCAAGAGGTCACTTCCAACCTAAATGATTCTGTGATGCTGTGACAAGTGTGAGAAAAGAGTTTTTCAGCAAAGACAGACAGAGACAGTTAAATGTAATGTTGTTTGTTGCTTTCTTCTTGATACAGTATAAACAAATGGTATCTCAAAGTGCTTGCTGTAGTCCACAGTCAAGTACTTAAAGAAAACTCAAAAGACAGAGGGCAATACAGTACATCAAAAAATCAACATTATATAAAATGCTACCACACATACTCAGCTGGAGCAAAAAAAGTTAAATCCAACTACGAATAGTTAAGTTAGAAGCAGTGTTTTCTCTGTCTCTTGATAGAGGCATATTAAAACTAGACCTCTTTCAAGGAGAACATATTTTGGTCAAACAAGTTACTGAACTCAACACAGGAGGCCCCAAGTGATCTTAAAGGTCTCACCTTCTGCAGGAGCCTGACTGGATTATTTAACTGCCCAGCCTGATCCACCATTCTATAGGGGTAAGCAAACTTCAAGTGAAGTAAAAAATAGGCGAACATCAAGGACTACAGTAGGGAGTCACATACTTCTCATGAGACCATAAGAGTCACAGAAATTGTATAACAGTTCCAAACATGGATACTCACATTCTCAATAGGGTAAGAAATCCCTTTAACCGGTAATGTCAGCTTGTCTACTCCTTTCACTGTTACCAGCACAGTAGCTCGTGGTCTGTGAAACAGATCACCCACTGCAAGCCCAGGCCACGAAAGCTCCTGTTAGAAAAACAGTAAAAACACTTGTACTGCACAGGGAGAAAGGGAGAAGCCCTCACCCACCATGGCTGCAAATAACTTACTATCTTTTTAATATCTCTGCACAAAACAGCCTGCTGAAACTTTGATGGGGAAGTGAACACTAGAATGTTTTCATCTTGAATAATGCTGTCTCAAGTTAGCCACCAGCAAATTGTTAGCTATCAGTAACTTCATAATAAAGTCTACACTGAAAAAGCATTTTACATTGGATATATCAAAAGCTATATTGCATAATTAAATTAGAAATGTCATGGTCTGCATTTAATAAGTGAAGACTGAATTAAAAAAAAAACAAACATACCACCAAAACCCACAACCAAAAAAACCCCTGAAAATCAAAACCCATTCACAAAGAGCAACAGAAACAGGCTTAGGCATATGAAAACACTAACATCTTGATACTTTCAGTACCAGAAAGAAACAGGGGGAGGGGATTTGAAGGGCATCAACCTTGCCAACAGCCTACTAATCTAAAATTGACAAATTTGCATAGAAACAAAAAAGGATTCTTTAGTAGCTTAATACAGTTATGTATCAACAAGAGCACAGTCAAGGATACTTGGCTGGTTTATCCCAGCACAAAATACACATTCACCTATTCAAAATGGCTTCAAATAGATTTCTCCTTTTATGTAAAAGACATAACTGCTTATTAAATGTTATGAAACCAATTTATTTGGATTTTAGAATTATATGCCATTGACATTATTGACACATGGTCTGTATCACCTCAAAAAAACAGAAGAAAAACCTTTAAAAGCATCACCAGAGACAAAAAGGGAGTTCAGTTTTATGTTGTCTTAACAGCAGAACACTGAATGACTGTTTTTGAAAATCCCCAGTGTAATGCAGTAAGAATTCTAAATTCTCTACAGTGCACCTACTGCACTGTCAGTTTATGTTCTTAAACTACAGCTTTGATGTAAACTGCATAATGAGTGTTTGGGCCCTGCAGCATTCTCCTTACCAGGGCTGGAAGCTGCCTATGAGGTGATCCCTGCCTTAGTGACACTGCCCTTAACTTTCAGTTTCAGGGCTTAACTGAACAGAGAAATTTAAACACTTCCTTCCCTGCCTATTTCTAGGATTTGAAATGTTACTAATAGAGAACTATTTCTAAAGGATGCTATGGATCCACCACAGTAGATGAATTCCAAGCTTTGGCAAAGGCACAGAATGAGTACTGAAACACTTTTTAATGCTAATCATGTGATACCTCCAGACGACCAGTATGCCAGAAGTCAAGTGTTCAAATTAGGCCAAACCCCATGGTTTTGCTGGGTATATCTTTGTACGCAATGCACACAATACCATCTGATGTATTGCTTTTTCTTGATAAAGTAATAAAAATATGCTTATTGCAAATACTACTCTTGAGAATTTCTGCTACTAGTTTAATGACCAAAAAAACCATAATTAATTGACAGCAAGATATTTTCAGAAAACTCCAGAACAGGGACTAAACTGATCTGCATTAAAACCAGACTTATCAGACCTCTTGCCTAGCTGCACTATGGAAGAAATGGGAACCAGCCTCCCTCGTTAGCATTGTGAGAATACCTCAGCTTGTAGCTTTGAGTATTTGGCCACATACAGACACTGCTAGTGGTGCCCAAGCTTTCACGTACTGCTTCAACAGCTGCTCATTCCT